TGTGTGTCTCTGTGTCTCTGGTGTGTATCTCTGGTTTGTGTGTGTCTGTCTTGTGTGTACCTCTGGTTTGTGTGTGTCTCTGTGTCTCTGGTGTGTACCTCTGGTTTGTGTGTGTCTCTTGTATGTACCTGTGTTTGTGTGTGTGTCTCTGGTGTGTACCTCTGGTTTGTGTGTGTCTCTGGTGTGTACCTCTGGTTTGTGTGTGTCTCTGTGTCTCTGGTGTGTACCTCTGGTTTGTGTGTGTCTCTGTGTGTACCTCTGGTTTGTGTGTGTCTCTGGTGTGTACCTCTGGTTTGTGTGTGTCTCTGGTGTGTACCTCTGGTTTGTGTGTGTCTTGTGTGTACCTCTGGTTTGTGTGTGTCTCTGGTGTGTACCTCTGTTTTGTGTGTGTCTCTGTGTGTACCTCTGGTTTGTGTGTGTCTCTGGTGTGTACCTCTGGTTTGTGTGTGTCTCTGGTGTGTACCTCTGGTTTGTGTGTGTCTCTGTGTGTACCTCTGGTTTGTGTGTGTCTCTGGTGTGTACCTCTGGTTTGTGTGTGTCTCTGGTGTGTACCTCTGGTTTGTGTGTGTCTCTGTGTGTACCTCTGGTTTGTGTGTGTCTCTGGTGTGTACCTCTGGTTTGTGTGTGTCTCTGGTGTGTACCTCTGGTTTGTGTGTGTCTCTGTGTGTACCTCTGGTTTGTGTGTGTCTCTGTGTGTACCTCTGGTTTGTGTGTGTCTCTGGTGTGTACCTCTGGTTTGTGTGTGTCTCCTGGTGTGTACCTCTGGTTTGTGTGTCCTGTGTCTCTGTGTGTACCTCTGGTTTGTGTGTGTCTCTGTGTGTACCTCTGGTTTGTGTGTGTCTCTGTGTGTACCTCTGGTTTGTGTGTGTCTCTGTGTCTCCTGGTGTGTACCTCTGGTTTGTGTGTGTCTCTGTGTGTACCTCTGGTTTGTGTGTGTCTCTGTGTGTACCTCTGGTTTGTGTGTGTCTCTGGTGTGTACCTCTGGTTTGTGTGTGTCTCTGTGTGTCTCTGTTTGTGTGTGTCTCTGGTGTGTACCTCTGGTTTGTGTGTGTCTTGGTGTGTACCTCTGGTTGTGTGTGTGTGTCTCTGGTGTGTACCTCTGGTTTGTGTGTGTCTCTGGTGTGTACCTCTGGTTTGTGTGTGTCTCTGGTGTGTACCTCTGGTTTGTGTGTGTCTCTGGTGTGTACCTCTGTTTGTGTGTGTCTCTGGTGTGTACCTCTGGTTTGTGTGTGTCTCTGGTGTGTACCTCTGGTTTGTGTGTGTCTGGTGTGTACCTCTGGTTTGTGTGTCTCTGGTGTGTACCTCTGGTTTGTGTGTGTCTCTGGTGTGTACCTCTGGTTTGTGTGTGTCTCTGTGTGTACCTCTGGTTTGTGTGTGTCTCTGTGTGTACCTCTGGTTTGTGTGTGTCTCTGGTGTGTACCTCTGGTTTGTGTGTGTCTCCTGGTGTGTACCTCTGGTTCGTGTGTGTCTCTGTGTGTACCTCTGGTTTGTGTGTGTCTCTGTGTCTCCTGGTGTGTACCTCTGGTTTGTGTGTGTCTCTGTGTGTACCTCTGGTTTGTGTGTGTCTCTGTGTGTACCTCTGGTTTGTGTGTGTCACTGTGTCTCCTGGTGTGTACCTCTGGTTTGTGTGTGTCTCTGTGTGTACCTCTGGTTTGTGTGTGTCTCTGTGTGTACCTCTGGTTTGTGTGTGTCTCTGTGTCTCCTGGTGTGTACCTCTGGTTTGTGTGTGTCTCTGTGTGTACCTCTGGTTTTGTGTGTCTCTGTGTGTACCTCTGGTTTGTGTGTGTCTCTGTGTCTCCTGGTGTGTACCTCTGGTTTGTGTGTGTCTCTGTGTGTACCTCTGGTTTGTGTGTGTCTCTGTGTGTACCTCTGGTTTGTGTGTGTCTCTGTGTCTCCTGGTGTGTACCTCTGGTTTGTGTGTGTCTCTGTGTGTACCTCTGGTTTGTGTGTGTCATGGGGTGAGCTGAGTGAGGACTCAAACGCAGAAATGCCAAAATAAAGCTTTTAATAAAACAAAGTCCAGAAATCCAAAGTAACCAGAACGTAGACACAGGTACATGTAGACACAGGTACACGTAGACACAGGTACACGTAGACACAGGTACATGTAGACACAGGTACTTGTAGACACAGGTACATGTAGACACAGGTACACGTAGACACAGGTACACGTAGACACAGGTGCACGTAGACACAGGTACATGTAGACACAGGTACATGTAGACACAGGTACATGTAGACACAGGTACTTGTAGACACAGGTACTTGTAGACACAGGTACTTGTAGACACAGGTACATGTAGACACAGGTACACGTAGACACAGGTACACGTAGACACAGGTACACGTAGACACAGGTACACGTAGACACAGGTACACGTAGACACAGGTACACGTAGACACAGGTACACGTAGACACAGGTGCACGTAGACACAGGTGCACGTAGACACAGGTGCACGTAGACACAGGTACACGTAGACACAGGTACACGTAGACACAGGTACACGTAGACACAGGTACACGTAGACACAGGTACACATAGACACAGGTACACGTAGACACAGGTGCACGTAGACACAGGTACTTGTAGACACAGGTACATGTAGACACAGGTACTTGTAGACACAGGTACTTGTAGACACAGGTACTTGTAGACACAGGTACTTGTAGACACAGGTACATGTAGACACAGGTACTTGTAGACACAGGTACATGTAGACACAGGTACATGTAGACACAGGTACATGTAGACACAGGTACATGTAGACACAGGTACTTGTAGACACAGGTACATGTAGACACAGGTACATGTAGACACAGGTACATGTAGACACAGGTACATGTAGACACAGGTACATGTAGACACAGGTACATGTAGACACAGGTACTTGTAGACAGGTACATGTAGACACAGGTACATGTAGACACAGGTACTTGTAGACACAGGTACATGTAGACACAGGTACTTGTAGACACAGGTACATGTAGACACAGGTACTTGTAGACAGGTACATGTAGACACAGGTACATGTAGACACAGGTACTTGTAGACACAGGTACATGTAGACACAGGTACATGTAGACACAAGTACTTGTAGACACAAGTACTTGTAGACACAGGTACATGTAGACACAGGTACTTGTAGACAGGTACATGTAGACACAGGTACATGTAGACACAGGTACTTGTAGACACAGGTACATGTAGACACAGGTACATGTAGACACAAGTACTTGTAGACACAAGTACTTGTAGACACAGGTACATGTAGACACAGGTACTTGTAGACAGGTACATGTAGACACAGGTACATGTAGACACAGGTACTTGTAGACACAGGTACATGTAGACACAGGTACATGTAGACACAGGTACTTGTAGACACAGGTACATGTAGACACAGGTACATGTAGACACAGGTACATGTAGACACAGGTACTTGTAGACACAGGTACATGTAGACACAGGTACATGTAGACACAGGTACATGTAGACACAGGTACATGTAGACACAGGTACATGTAGACACAGGTACATGTAGACACAGGTACATGTAGACACAGGTACATGTAGACACAGGTACATGTAGACACAGGTACATGTAGACACAAGTACTTGTAGACACAGGTACATGTAGACACAGGTACATGTAGACACAGGTACATGTAGACACAGGTACATGTAGACACAGGTACAGGGGAAACACATCAGGGCGGGGCAGACCATCAACACAGGGAAACAGGAAGTCAAACTGAAACAAAACCACAGAACTTATTTCAAAATAAAACCAAAATACGAAATCAAAATCCACACCATGACAGTGTGTGTCTGTGTCTCTGGTTTGTGTGTGTCTGTGTCTCTGGTGTGTGTGTCTGTGGTGTGTCTCTGGTGTGTATCTCTGGTTTGTGTGTGTCTGTGGTGTGTGTGTGTCTCTGGTGTGTGTGTCTGTGGTGTGTAGTGTGTCACAGATGTTTTAAGTTTATTTGTGTAACATGAAACTAAAGGATAAATTATGAAACAACACATTTTAAAACAAAGAGAAACTTTCATATTTTTATAAACCCAAGATTTCCATTTTTCAAACTTTTATGATTAAAAAAGTCAGAGGCAAAACCAACACTTTAGAACCATAGTTCTGAGTAGTTCCTCCTCTCTCCTCCTCCTCCTGCTCCTCCTGCTCCTCCTCTCTCCTCCTTCAGCAGTTGGTCCTGTCGATGCGGTCCTGCTCCTCCTCCTCCTGCTCTCTCCTCCTCCTGCTCCTCCTGCTCCTCCTCTCTCCTCCTTCAGCAGTTGGTCCTGTCGATGCGGTCCTGCTCCTCCTCCTCCTGCTCTCTCCTCCTCCTGCTCCTCCTGCTCCTCCTCTCTCCTCCTTCAGCAGTTGGTCCTGTCGATGCAGTCCTGCTCCTCCTCCTCCTCTTTCCTCCTCCTGCTCCTCCTGCTCCTCCTCTCTCCTCCTTCCTCCTCCTGCTCCTCCTGCTCCTCCTCTCTCCTCCTTCAGCAGTTGGTCCTGTCGATGCGGTCCTGCTCCTCCTCCTCCTGCTCTCTCCTCCTCCTGCTCCTCCTGCTCCTCCTCTCTCCTCCTTCAGCAGTTGGTCCTGTCGATGCGGTCCTGCTCCTCCTCCTCCTGCTCTCTCCTCCTTCTGCTCCTCCTGCTCCTCCTCTCTCCTCCTTCAGCAGTTGGTCCTGTCGATGCGGTCCTGCTCCTCCTCCTCCTGCTCTCTCCTCCTCCTGCTCCTCCTGCTCCTCCTCTCTCCTCCTTCAGCAGTTGGTCCTGTCGATGCAGTCCTGCTCCTCCTCCTCCTCTTTCCTCCTCCTGCTCCTCCTCTCTCCTCCTTCAGCAGTTGGTCCTGTCGATGCGGTCCTGCTCCTCCTCCTCCTGCTCTCTCCTCCTTCTGCTCCTCCTGCTCCTCCTCTCTCCTCCTTCAGCAGTTGGTCCTGTCGATGCGGTCCTGCTCCTCCTCCTGCTCTCTCCTCCTCCTGCTCCTCCTCTCTCCTCCTTCAGCAGTTGGTCCTGTCGATGCGGTCCTGCTCCAGCTGGGACTTGGCCTTCTTCTTCTGCAGTCGTATGTGTTCAGTGAACTCCCGCACAGCGCCCCTCCCTCCTGCTGCGCTGCAAATGTACTTTGCACCATTTATCGCCATCAAGGGGGCGTCCGAGGGTACTGCACTCAGACCGGCCAGATTCAGCACCTCCACATCCACCTCCTCGTTCCCTGAACACACAGCACAGGTCTCTGGTCTCTCTCTCTGGTCTCTCTCTCTCTGGTCTCTCTCTCTCTGGTCTCTCTCTCTCTGGTCTCTCTCTCTCTGGTCTCTCTCTCTCTGGTCTCTCTCTCTCTCTCTGGTCTCTCTCTCTCTGGTCTCTCTCTCTCTGGTCTCTCTCTCTCTGGTCTCTCTCTCTCTCTGATCACTCTCTCTTTCTCTCTCTCTGATCACTCTCTCTCTCTGATCTCTCTCTCTGATCTCTCTCTGATCTCTCTCTCTGATCACTCTCTCTCTCTCTCTGGTCTCTCTCTCTCTGGTCTCTCTCTCTCTGGTCTCTCTCTCTCTGGTCTCTCTCTCTCTGGTCTCTCTCTCTCTGGTCTCTCTCTCTGGTCTCTCTCTCTGGTCTCTCTCTCTGATCTCTCTCTCTCTCTCTCTCCCTGGTCTCTCTCTCTCTCTCCCTGGTCTCTCTCTCTCTCCCTGGTCTCTCTCTCTCTCTCTCTCTCCCTGGCCTCTCTCTCTCTCTCCGGTCTCTCTCTCCGGTCTCTCTCTCTGGTCTCTCTCTCCGGTCTCTCTCTCTGATCTCTCTCTCTGATCTCTCTCTCTGATCTCTCTCTCTCTCTCTGGTCTCTCTCCCTGGTCTCTCTCCCTGGTCTCTCTCCCTGGTCTCTCTCTCTCTCTCCCTGGTCTCTCTCTCTCTCTGGTCTGTGGTCTCTCTCTGGTCTCTCTCTCTCTGGTCTGTGGTCTCTCTCACTCACCCATGTAGGCCACGTCCTTCCAGGTGAGGTCTCTCTTCTTCACCAGAGGCCTCAGATCCTCCAGAGGTCTCTCCCCCACCCTCAGCACCTCGCAGCCCAGACGCTGAGACACAATTTGGGACAAGTCCTGAGCCACAGGGTCCAGGCTGGAGGTCAGCAAGACCACCTGGTTAGACCACAGGGGACACATGTGAGGACACGAGGACAGAGGAGAGAGGAGAGAGGAGAGAGGACAGAGGACAGAGGAGAGAGGACAGAGGACAGAGGAGAGAGGACAGAGGAGAGAGGACAGAGGAGAGATGAGAGAGGAGAGAGGACAGAGGAGAGAGGACAGAGGACAGAGGAGAGAGGAGAGAGGACAGAGGAGAGAGGACAGAGGACAGAGGACAGAGGAGAGAGGACAGAGGAGAGAGGACAGAGGAGAGAGGACAGAGGAGAGAGGACAGAGGAGAGAGGACAGAGGAGAGAGGAGAGAGGAGAGGACAGAGGAGAGAGGACAGAGGAGAGAGGACAGAGGAGAGAGGAGAGAGGAGAGAGGACAGAGGAGATAGGACAGAGGAGAGAGGAGAGAGGAGAGGACAGAGGAGAGAGGACAGAGGAGAGAGGACAGAGGAGATAGGACAGAGGAGAGAGGAGAGAGGAGAGGACAGAGGAGAGAGGACAGAGGAGAGAGGAGAGAGGAGAGAGGACAGAGGAGATAGGACAGAGGAGAGAGGAGAGAGGAGAGGACAGAGGAGAGAGGACAGAGGAGAGAGGACAGAGGAGAGAGGACAGAGGAGATAGGACAGAGGAGAGAGGAGAGAGGAGAGGACAGAGGAGAGAGGACAGAGGAGAGAGGACAGAGGAGAGAGGAGAGAGGAGAGAGGACAGAGGACAGAGGACAGAGGAGAGAGGACAGAGGAGAGAGGACAGAGGAGAGAGGACAGAGGACACAGAGACAGAGGACACAGAGACAGAGGACACAGAGACAGAGGACACAGAGACAGAGGACACAGAGACAGAGGACACAGAGATAGAGACAAAGGAGACAGAGACAGAGGACACAGAGGAGACAGAGACAGAGGACACAGACAGAGACACAGAGACAGAGGAGACAGAGACAGATGACACAGAGACAGAGGACACAGAGGAGACAGAGGACACAGACAGAGGACACAGAGACAGAGGAGACAGAGACAGAGGACACAGAGACAGAGACACAGAGACAGAGGACACAGAGGAGACAGACAGAGGACACAGAGACAGAGGACACAGAGACAGAGGACACAGAGACAGAGGACACAGGACACAGAGGAGACAGAGACAGAGGACACAGAGACAGAGGACACAGAGACAGAGGACACAGAGGACACAGAGACAGAGGACACAGAGACAGAGGAGACAGAGACACAGAGACAGAGGACACAGAGACAGAGGACACAGAGGACACAGAGACAGAGGACACAGAGACACAGAGACAGAGGACACAGAGACACAGAGACAGAGGACACAGAGACAGAGACACGGAGACAGAGGACACAGATACAGAGACACAGAGACAGAGGACACAGAGGAGACAGAGGACACAGAGACAGAGACACAGAGACAGAGGACACAGAGACAGAGAGACAGAGGACACAGAGGAGACAGAGACAGAGGACACAGAGACAGAGACACAGAGACAGAGGACACAGAGACAGAGGACACAGAGACAGAGACACAGAGACAGAGGACACAGAGGAGACAGAGGACACAGAGACAGAGGACACAGAGGAGACAGAGACAGAGGACACAGAGACAGAGACACAGAGACAGAGGACACAGAGACAGAGGACACAGAGGAGACAGAGACAGAGGACACAGAGACAGAGGACACAGAGGACACAGAGACAGAGGACACAGAGACAGAAGAGACAGAGACAGAGGACACAGAGACAGAGGACACAGAGACAGAGGAGACAGAGACAGAGGACACAGAGACAGAGGACACAGAGACAGAGACAGAGGACACAGAGACAGAAGAGACAGAGACAGAGGACCACAGAGACAGAGGACACAGAGACAGAGGACACAGAGACAGAGGACACAGAGACAGAGGAGACAGAGACAGAGGACACAGAGACAGAGGACACAGAGACAGAGGACACAGAGGAGACAGAGACAGAGGACACAGAGACAGAGGACACAGAGACAGAGACACAGAGACAGAGGACACAGAGACAGAGGACACAGAGGAGACAGAGACAGAGGACACAGAGACACAGACACAGAGACAGAGGACACAGAGACAGAGGACACAGAGGAGACAGAGACACAGAGACAGAGGACACAGAGACAGAGGACACAGAGGAGACAGAGGACACAGAGACAGAGGAGACAGAGACAGAGGACACAGAGACAGAGGACACAGAGACAGAGGACACAGAGACAGAAGACACAGAAGAGACAGAGGACACAGAGACAGAGGACACAGAGACACAGAGACAGAGGACACAGAGACAGAGGACACAGAGACACAGAGACAGAGGACACAGAGACAGAGGACACAGAGGAGACAGAGGACACAGAGACAGAGGACACAGAGGAGACAGAGACAGAGGACACAGAGACAGAGACACAGAGACAGAGGACACAGAGACAGAGGAGACAGAGACACAGAGACAGAGGACACAGAGACAGAGGACACAGAGGAGACAGAGACAGAGGACACAGAGACAGAGGACACAGAGGACACAGAGACAGAGGACACAGAGACAGAAGAGACAGAGACAGAGGACACAGAGACAGAGGACACAGAGACAGAGGAGACAGAGACAGAGGACACAGAGACAGAGGACACAGAGACAGAGACAGAGGACACAGAGACAGAAGAGACAGAGACAGAGGACACAGAGACAGAGGACACAGAGACAGAGGACACAGAGACAGAGGACACAGAGACAGAGGAGACAGAGACAGAGGACACAGAGACAGAGGAGACAGAGACAGAGGACACAGAGACAGAGGACACAGAGGAGACAGAGACAGAGGACACAGAGACAGAGGACACAGAGACAGAGACACAGAGACAGAGGACACAGAGACAGAGGACACAGAGGAGACAGAGACAGAGGACACAGAGACACAGACACAGAGACAGAGGACACAGAGACAGAGGACACAGAGGAGACAGAGACACAGAGACAGAGGACACAGAGACAGAGGACACAGAGGAGACAGAGGACACAGAGACAGAGGAGACAGAGACAGAGGACACAGAGACAGAGGACACAGAGACAGAAGACACAGAAGAGACAGAGGACACAGAGACAGAGGACACAGAGACACAGAGACAGAGGACACAGAGACAGAGGACACAGAGACAGAGGACACAGAGACACAGAGACAGAGGACACAGAGACAGAGGACACAGAGACAGAGGACGTACCTCCACGCCCTCCCGCTGCAGCATGCGTAGACCTGCAGTGTCTCTGGTGTTCACTGAGATCATCTCTGCTCCTGATGCACTGAGGAAGATCCGTCCCTCAGTGAGACACCCAGAGACATTACAGAGCAGCAGCCGCACCACCTCTGGGCTGTCCCGCCCAAAGTATCCATACCTGCAAGTATATATGACTTAGTATGCATGCCTCAGTATACATGTCTCAGTAAATATGCCTCAGTAAATATGCCTCAGTATACATGCCTCAGTATACATGTCTCAGTATACATGTCTCAGTATACATGTCTCAGTATACATGTCTCAGTATACATGTCTCAGTAAATATGCCTCAGTATACATGTCTCAGTAAGTATGCCTCAGTATACATGTCTCAGTATACATGTCTCAGTAAGTATGCCTCAGTATACATGTCTCAGTAAGTATGCCTCAGTATACATGTCTCAGTAAATATGCCTCAGTAAATATGCCTCAGTATACATGTCTCAGTATACATGTCTCAGTAAGTATGCCTCAGTATACATGTCTCAGTAAGTATGCCTCAGTATACATGTCTCAGTAAGTATGCCTCAGTATACATGTCTCAGTATACATGTCTCAGTATACATGTCTCAGTAAGTATGCCTCAGTATACATGTCTCAGTAAGTATGCCTCAGTATACATGTCTCAGTAAGTATGCCTCAGTATACATGTCTCAGTATACATGTCTCAGTATACATGTCTCAGTATACATGTCTCAGTATACATGTCTCAGTAAATATGCCTCAGTATACATGTCTCAGTATACAGGTCTCAGTATACATGTCTCAGTATACAGGTCTCAGTATACATGTCTCAGTATACATGTCTCAGTAAATATGCCTCAGTATACATGTCTCAGTATACAGGTCTCAGTATACAGGTCTCAGAATACATGTCTCAGTAAATATGCCTCAGTATACATGTCTCAGTATACATGTCTCGGTATACATACCTCAGGACTCTCTGCTCTGCCACAGGCCAGTCTATGTCCACATCGATGTCCACACTGTACTCAGGACGCATCTCATAGTACGCCACTTTACCACCCTGCACCAGAATATATATGAGACCAGAGAGAGAGACCAGAGAGAGAGACCAGAGAGAGAGACCAGAGAGAGAGACCAGAGAGAGAGACCAGAGAGAGAGACCAGAGAGAGAGACCAGAGAGAGAGACCAGAGAGAGACCAGAGAGAGAGACCAGAGAGAGAGACCAGAGACAGACCAGAGAGAGAGACCAGAGACAGACCAGAGAGAGAGACCAGAGACAGACCAGAGAGAGAGACCAGAGACAGACCAGAGAGAGAGACCAGAGAGAGAGACCAGAGAGAGAGACCAGAGAGAGAGACCAGAGAGAGAGACCAGAGAGAGACCAGAGAGAGAGACCAGAGAGAGAGACCAGAGACAGACCAGAGAGAGAGACCAGAGACAGACCAGAGAGAGAGACCAGAGAGAGAGACCAGAGAGAGAGACCAGAGACAGACCAGAGAGAGAGACCAGAGAGAGAGACCAGAGAGAGAGACCAGAGAGAGAGACCAGAGAGAGAGACCAGAGAGAGACACCAGAGAGGGAGACCAGAGAGAGACCAGAGAGAGAGACCAGAGAGAGACCAGAGAGAGACACCAGAGAGGGAGACCAGAGAGAGACCAGAGAGAGAGACCAAAGAGAGAGACCAGAGAGAGAGACCAAAGAGAGAGACCAGAGAGAGAGACCAGAGAGAGAGACCAGAGAGGGACCAGAGAGAGACCAGAGAGAGAGACCAGAGAGAGAGACCAGAGAGAGACACCAGAGAGGGAGACCAGAGAGAGACCAGAGAGAGACCAGAGAGAGAGACCAGAGAGAGAGACCAGAGAGACCAGAGAGAGAGACCAGAGAGAGAGACCAGAGAGAGAGACCAGAGAGAGAGACCAGAGAGAGACCAGAGAGAGAGACCAGAGAGAGACACCAGAGAGGGAGACCAGAGAGAGACCAGAGAGAGAGACCAGAGAGAGAGACCAGAGAGAGAGACCAGAGAGGGAGACCAGAGAGAGACCAGAGAGAGACCAGAGAGAGACCAGAGAGGGAGACCAGAGAGAGAGACCAGAGAGAGAGACCAGAGAGAGAGACCAGAGAGAGAGACCAGAGAGAGACCAGAGAGAGACCAGAGAGACCCCTGTTCACCTGTAGCAGTCCCTGCTTCTCGATCAGGTCTCTGGTGGAAAAGTAGAAGGATCCGTTTTCACAGAGCTCTCCGTCCCAGTCCTGTCGCCGCGGACGATTGGCCGGATCCAGGTTCAAAGGTCGAGTCAACTCCCCCTCTGCAAACACATGGTCCTCATGAAGGGCACTGACCAGGATCCCTGACTCTGAACCTGACTTTCAACCCTAACCTCTGACCTCTAACTCTGACCTCCAACTCTGACCCCCGACACTGACCTCTGACCTCTGACCCTGGATCATCACACTGTGCTGGGGTATACAGCGAGGGTCTGGTGCATAAGGAACAAAAAAACAAACGTGTCTTTTCTGTGGTCGAACAGTTTGAACCAAATTATTTAAAATATGAAAACATTTAATTTGACCCAGTTTGGTCCTTAACAATCTCTGGTTAAATGAAAGTGAAACTTTGTCTCAACAGCACCAACACTTTGACACTTTGGACCATAGTGAGTTTGACCGCCTGTTCCAATGGGAGCTGAGTTTAAAAGCTAAAGAGACGCCCCCTGGTGGTCATGTCACTCAAGTGCATCCAGAGGAAAACAGAAAGACCTACAGTACAGAGCAAACGTCTGGACACACCTTCTCATTCAAAGAGAAGGAAAACTGTAGATTGACACGGAGGGCCTCGAACCTATGATGAACTCATGTGAATGATGTTTGTAGTAAAAAGTATGAACCAAGTGTAAATATGTGTTATATTCTGGTTCTTCAAAGTAGCTCCTTTTGCTCTGATACTGCTTCACTCTTGGCATTCTCTGGATGAGCTTCAACAGGACCTGAAATGGTCTCCAACAGTCTGGAAGGAGTTCCCATGATGCTTAGCACTTGTTGGCCCCTTCACTCTGTGGTTCAGCCCCAAAACCATCTGGACTGGGTTCAGGTCCAAAACCATCTGGACTGGGTTCAGGTCCAAAACCATCTGGACTGGGTTCAGGTCCAAAACCATCTGGACTGGGTTCAGGTCCAAAACCATCTGGACTGGGTTCAGGTCCAAAACCATCTGGACTGGGTTCAGGACTGGGCTGAAGATGAAGAGGCAAAGTGCAGGTTGTGTGAGCGGATCCCCAGGTGTTCTGGGGTCCACGAGTGGATTACAGACATGTAGAATCTCAGCAGAGTAAAGCTCCTGAAGAAAGCCCATCAACAAAACGTCTGAAAACACTAGACGGCTCCTTTAGCAAAGCTAGCAAGACGCTTGGTGAAACACTAGCGAGATGGCAGCTTTTGATGGATTAACTTTAATAGTATGGCAAATGCGACGATCTCAGATCAGCACTAAAGAGAGAAGGACGTTCTTCCCAAGAATCTGAAATCTCCCAACAGGTTTGGGCTTTTGCTAATGAACAAAAAAATATATTCCAAGACATGGTGAAGCGAGGGATGAGTTTTTATAAAGAGTTTTCCCTCTTGGAAGCCACCGTTTAGAATCACTCAGCACTGTTCAGGCGACGTCTGTGGAGGCGGAGGAGCATTCTATATCTGTGGCCGATTTGGAACAGAGACATGTGACAGTCTGTGGACGCGCTAAGCTTCTTAAAAACACATCTTCAGAAAAGAAAGAAAGAAGGGCACAGGGATAAATGAAATGTTAACACTGGCAGTGTTTAGGCTTTTTATTATTATGGTTTTAGCCTGGGGCTCACAGGCTAATGGCCCTGTTATTTTGTGGTGCACAGTTGCACATTTATGTGGCTGGTTTTATTTAAAGGCGCTATACCCGTTTCTGCAATGTTTGAATGTTTAGCACCGCCCCCCAACTCGCTCAATGGCTTCTCATTTCTCATAACACAGAGCCACCTAGTTTTATTTGCGATCTGATACGTATGCTAACATTAGCATTAGCGCAACTTCTTGTAAGCCGTGCAACAATCACTGATGAAATGGCACTAAAGCAACGCACTGCTAACACAATATATAAGTAAAAGAATACCGCTAGTTTCGCGTCCGAATGTATTGATTTAAAACCTTAGAATATATTCTAATATTTAATTATAATTTGTTATAGAGCTCCTCAAAGCAGCAGCAGCCATTCTTCCGATCATTTTTCTTGATAACAGAACTCTCAAACCAATAATGACTGAAGCCCCAATGAACCTCTGTTTGTAATTCAGGTGTGTAAAATACTGCCATTACTCTGCAAGAACAAGCTATCAGCACCTGTCACTATCACTCGTCTGTGTAGAGAAGCTAGCGGAGCTAGCCACGCTCAATAAACAACTACATATCTATCAATCAACACCATTAAACGTCAATCGGACAATACAGTACACATATACATCCTTAACACACATGCACGGATGATTTCAGAATTTGCTGTTAACGTTTTTATGACAAAAATACTGTTTCAATGTGACAAAAAGCGATTGCGAAAAACCCGGAAGTTACCATGAAACAACTAGCTAGCTTAGCTGTTACCTGCCTAGCACGTCTCGGTGAAACCTTTGGGAGCTAGGTTAACTATTTTATTTGCAGTCATTAAATACATTTCGAATTACAAGGGTTGTCTAATATTTGTTCAAATTTTTTTATTCAATAATTTTTTTCATCATTTTTTATTTTAGAATTATATTCGAATTTTGAAGTCGAAGCCCTGGTGTTAAGCAGCGCTGTAGAGGCTAGAGGACGCTGGCTGTAGAGACTAGAGGACACAGGCTGTAGAGACTAGAGGACACAGGCTGTAGAGACTAGAGGACACAGGCTGTAGAGGCTAGAGGACACAGGCTGTAGAGACTAGAGGACACAGGCTGTAGAGACTAGAGGACACAGGCTGTAGAGACTAGAGGACACAGGCTGTAGAGACTAGAGGACACAGGCTGTAGAGACTAGAGGACGCAGGCTGTAGAGACTAGAGGACACAGGCTGTAGAGACTAGAGGACGCAGGCTGTAGAGGCTAGAGGACACAGGCTGTAGAGACTAGAGGACACAGGCTGTAGAGACTAGAGGACACAGGCTGTAGAGACTAGAGGACGCAGGCTGTAGAGGCTAGAGGACACAGGCTGTAGAGACTAGAGGACACAGGCTGTAGAGACTAGAGGACACAGGCTGTAGAGACTAGAGGACACAGGCTGTAGAGGCTAGAGGACACAGGCTGTAGAGACTAGAGGACACAGGCTGTAGAGACTAGAGGACACAGGCTGTAGAGACTAGAGGACACAGGCTGTAGAGACTAGAGGACGCAGGCTGTAGAGACTAGAGGACACAGGCTGTAGAGACTAGAGGACACAGGCTGTAGAGGCTAGAGGACACAGGCTGTAGAGACTAGAGGACGCAGGCTGTAGAGACTAGAGGACACAGGCTGTAGAGACTAGAGGACACAGGCTGTAGAGGCTAGAGGACACAGGCTGTAGAGACTAGAGGACACAGGCTGTAGAGACTAGAGGACACAGGCTGTAGAGGCTAGAGAACACAGGCTGGTCGCTGCTCGTTCTGTGAGCGGAGGAGAACGTCCCGCTCAGACTCTACTCAGCACTTTTCACTGCTTGTAATTCTTACACAGCTGAATCAATTACCTCAAGTTTTCAATTAAATGATGTATTATGATACAACTTGTATGTAGTAAAAAGCATTTTTATGAACTACTTAGAAAAAAAATCGGGTATAGCTTCTTTAATATAGTTGAAGTTGGTGATGTTTAAAAGATAATTGTGCCTGTCCTGCCTTAAAGCTGCACTAACTGACTTTGAGAAAGTTTGGAATGAGAGCGCTCAATCTGGACCCGACACATTCTCTTCCTTGTTTCACAAAAACTTCCTTGTGGCACCAATCTGTGCTACTTTTTCTTCAAAAGGACGTATCCAATGCACTGAAGGATATGGATAAAGTCAGGTAATGCAGCTTTAATAAAGAAACATTTGGTTAACTTGGAGTGATTATTCCCGTTTGCAGCCGTTAACAAATGTCAAGAGCCACAGGATGGATTTTGTTTTTCAGAATGGTTTACTTTAGGAGATTTTGTCAGTTTTTATTATGGAGTTCTGTAATATTTTGGTTTTCTAAGGGTTGCCATGACAACCCACTTTCCATAGTTAGTGCACAGGCCAATCACACTTTATTTTATCTGTGGACATAAACTGTCTTCTTTTGGCCTAATAATGATACACAATATAACAATGTCAGTTTGCGATTTGGGAACACAGAAAACATTTCTTGATACATCTCATTCTAGTGACAAATATTAAACCCTGGAGTGAATCTACAGACAACAGTCATGAAACGAAACTCACTGAAGGACACACACACACACACACACAGAGACACACACACACACAGACACACACACACACAGAGACACACACACACACACACACACACACACACACACAGCTCTGCGATCATCTTCAGACCAATCGATCTCCCCTCTGCAAGTGTCACTTGATCATTTGAATGTATCGTGTCTTTGGTCTCTTCAGATTGAAACAGACGTACTCTCCTTCTTGACCTCCTGCCAGCGGAAGTGGTGTCTGCGGACGACAGCGAACACCGAGTCGTAGCCTTGTTCTGTGATGTACTCCAGCGCCCCCTTCAGGTGGAACGGGTGCAGACAGGGAGAGGTGGCCTGGATGTGGCACACAATGTCCACCTCTGAAACCACACACACACAATTTATGGTTTCTTTCTTATTTGGATGAATATTGCCCAGATATGACAGACCAAGAACAGACCTGGGTAGAGGACAGAGGACAGAGGACAGAGGCGAGAGGACAGAGGACAGTGGAGAGAGGACAGAGAAGAGAGGACAGAGGCGAGAGGACAGAGGACAGAGGAGAGAGGACAGAGGAGAGAGGACAGATGAGAGAGGAGAGAGGACAGAGGACAGAGGACAGAGGAGAGAGGAGAGAGGACAGAGGAGAGAGGCGAGAGGACAGAGGACAGTGGAGAGAGGACAGAGGAGAGAGGAGAGAGGCGAGAGGACAGAGGAGAGAGGACAGAGGACAGAGCACAGAGGCGAGAGGAGAGAGGACAGTGGAGAGAGGAGAGAGGAGAGAGGACAGAGGAGAGAGGAGAGAGGACAGAGGACAGAGGACAGAGGACAGAGGACAGAGGCGAGAGGACAGAGGACAGAGGAGAGAGGACAGAGGAGAGAGGACAGAGGAGAGAGGACAGAGGAGAGAGGACAGAGGAGAGAGGAGAGAGGACAGAGGAGAGAGGAGAGAGGACAGAGGAGAGAGGACAGTGGACAGAGGACAGAGGCGAGAGGACAGAGGACAGAGGACAGTGGACAGAGGCGAGAGGACAGAGGAGAGAGTACAGAGGAGAGAGGACAGAGGAGAGAGGACAGAGGACAGTGGAGAGAGGAGAGAGGACAGAGGAGAGAGTACAGAGGAGAGAGGACAGAGGAGAGAGGACAGAGGAGAGAGGACAGAGGACAGTGGAGAGAGGAGAGAGGACAGAGGAGAGAGGACAGAGGAGAGAGGACAGAGGACAGAGGAGAGAGGAGAGAGGACAGTGGACAGTGGAGAGAGGAGAGAGGAGAGAGGACAGAGGACAGAGGACAGAGGACAGAGGAGAGAGGAGAGAGGACAGAGGACAGAGGAGAGAGGAGAGAGGACAGAGGACAGAGGACAGTGGACAGAGGAGAGAGGACAGAGGAGAGAGGAGAGAGGACAGAGGACAGAGGAGAGAGGACAGTGGAGAGAGGACAGAGGACAGTGGACAGAGGACAGAGGACAGAGGAGAGAGGACAGAGGACAGAGGAGAGAGGACAGAGGAGAGAGGACAGAGGACAGAGGAGAGAGGACAGAGGAGAGAGGAGAGAGGACAGAGGACAGAGGAGAGAGGACAGTGGAGAGAGGACAGTGGACAGAGGAGAGAGGACAGAGGACAGAGGAGAGAGGACAGTGGAGAGAGGACAGAGGACAGAGGACAGAGGAGAGAGGACAGTGGAGAGAGGACAGAGGAGAGAGGACAGAGGACAGACTTGGGTACAGACGGAGGGACAGAGGACAGAGACAGACCTGGGTACAGACAGAGACAGACCTGGGTACAGACAGAGGACAGACTTGGGTACAGACGGAGGACAGAGGACAGAGACAGACCTGGGTACAGACAGAGACAGACCTGGGTACAGACAGAGGACATAGGACAGACCTGGGTACAGACAGAGGACAGAGACAGACCTGGGTACAGACAGAGGACAGAGGACAGACCTGGGTACAGACAGAGGACATAGGACAGAGACAGACCTGGGTACAGACAGAGGACAGAGACAGAGACAGACCTGGGTAGAGACAGAGGACAGAGACAGACCTGGGTACAGACGGAGGACAGAGGACAGAGACAGACCTGGGTACAGACAGAGGACAGAGACAGACCTGGGTACAGACAGAGGACAGAGGACAGAGACAGACCTGGGTACAGACAGAGGACAGAGACAGACCTGGGTACAGACGGAGGACAGAGGACAGAGACAGACCTGGGTACAGACAGAGACAGACCTGGGTACAGACAGAGACAGACCTGGGTACAGACAGAGATAGACCTGGGTACAGACAGAGACAGACCTGGGTACAGACAGAGGACAGAGGACAGAGACAGACCTGGGTACAGACAGAGACAGACCTGGGTACAGACAGAGGACAGAGACAGACCTGGGTACAGACGGAGGACAGAGGACAGAGACAGACCTGGGTACAGACAGAGACAGACCTGGGTACAGACAGAGGACAGAGACAGACCTGGGTACAGACAGAGGACAGACCTGGGTACAGACAGAGGACATTGGACAGAGGACAGACCTGGGTACAGACAGAGGACATAGGACAGAGGACAGACCTGGGTACAGACAGAGGACATAGGACAGAGGACAGACCTGGGTACAGACAGAGGACAGAGACAGACCTGGGTACAGCCAGAGGACAGAGACAGACCTGGGTACAGACGGAGGACAGAGGACAGAGAGAGACCTGGGTACAGATAGAGACAGACCTGGGTACAGACAGAGGACAGAGACAGACCTGGGTACAGACATAGGACAGACCTGGGTACAGACAGAGGACATAGGACAGACCTGGGTACAGACAGAGGACATAGGACAGAGGACAGACCTGGGTACAGACGGAGGACATAGGACAGAGGACAGACCTGGGTACAGACAGAAGACAGAGACAGACCTGGGTACAGACAGAGGACAGAGACAGACCTGGGTACAGACATAGGACAGACCTGGGTACAGACAGAGGACATAGGACAGACCTGGGTACAGACAGAGGACATAGGACAGAGGACAGACCTGGGTACAGACGGAGGACATAGGACAGAGGACAGACCTGGGTACAGACAGAAGACAGAGACAGACCTGGGTACAGACAGAGGACAGAGACAGACCTGGGTACAGACAGAGGACAGAGACAGACCTGGGTACAGACAGAGGACAGAGGCAGACCTGGGTACAGACAGAGGACAGACCTGGGTACAGACAGAGGACAGAGACAGACCTGGGTACAGACAGAGGACAGAGACAGACCTGGGTACAGACAGAGGACAGAGGCAGACCTGGGTACAGACAGAGGACAGACCTGGGTACAGACAGAGAACAGAGGACAGAGACAGACCTGGGTACAGACAGAGGACAGAGACAGACCTGGGTACAAACGGAGGAACTCCTGGATGGTGTCCAGAGAAGTGGACGAGTCCTTGGAGACTTCTGCAGATCTGCGATGGACACGAGCTCCAGACGACAGAGCCACTTTCTCTATGTCGTCATGGTCTGTGGACACCCACACACTGACACACACACACACACATAAGTTATATACACACACGCACTGACACACATATAAGTTATACACACACACACACACACACACTGACATACACACAAGTTATACACACACACACACACACACACAGTGTGGGGCGAGGCAGGGTGAGTCTGCTGTTTTAAAGCACTGGACCTGAACCTACGGCCCGTTGAACCGGTTTGTAAACTATAGTTGAGATAGTAACATCATTATCTCTCAGGACACATCCTGTTGGACCAGAACCAGAACTGGAACTGAAGCTCAAACATATTTGACTTTCACTGTTGGTCACAGACACAAACACTCAGCCCAAACACAACCAGGACAGAGACCAACACTCAGCCCAAACACAACCAGAACAGAGACCAACACTCAGCCCAAACACAACCAGGACAGAGACCAACACTCAGCCCAAACACAACCAGGACAGAGACCAACACTCAGCCCAAACACAACCAGGACAGAGACCAACACTCAGCCCAAACACAACCAGAACAGAGACCAACACTCAGCCCAAACACAACCAGGACAGAGACCAACACTCAGCCCAAACACAACCAGGTCAGAGACCAACACTCAGCCCAAACACAACCAGGACAGAGACCAACACTCAGCCCAAACACAACCAGAACAGAGACCAACACTCAGCCCAAACACAACCAGGACAGAGACCAACACTCAGCCCAAACACAACCAGGACAGAGACCAACACTCAGCCCAAACACAACCAGGACAGAGACCAACACTCAGCCCAAACACAACCAGAACAGAGACCAACACTCAGCCCAAACACAACCAGGACAGAGACCAACACTCAGCCCAAACACAACCAGGTCAGAGACCAACACTCAGCCCAAACACAACCAGGACAGAGACCAACACTCAGCCCAAACACAACCAGGACTCCTGCCTCCTCCTGCGTCCTCCTGCGTCCTCCAGCGTCCTCCAGCGTCCTCCAGCGTCCTCCAGCGTCCTCCTGCGTCCTCCTGCGTCCTCCTGCGTCCTCCTGCGTCCTCCTGCGTCCTCCAGCGTCCTCCAGCGTCCTCCAGCGTCCTCCAGCGTCCTCCTGCGTCCTCCTGCGTCCTCCTGCGTCCTCCTGCGTCCTCCTGCGTCCTCCAGCGTCCTCCAGCGTCCTCCAGCGTCCTCCAGCGTCCTCCTGAGTTCTCCTGCGTCCTCCTGCGTCCTCCAGCGTCCTCCAGCGTCCTCCAGCGTCCTCCAGCGTCCTCCAGCGTCCTCCAGCGTCCTCCAGCGTCCTCCAGCGTCCTCCAGCGTCCTCCTGCGTCCTCCTGCGTCCTCCTGCGTCCTCCTGCGTCCTCCAGCGTCCTCCTGCGTCCTCCTGTCTCCGCTACGCTTCGCTAACGGAGCTCAATGTAAATTAAAACAGCTCAACCATCCTGTCATCCTGAACTTTTTTCTTCTTAAATCCTTCGGTTTTCTTTAAATCCACACTTTACTGCCACAAACTCTACTCCTTTCCTTCCCGCTCTGACTCCGCTCTGATTGGTCAAAACCATAGACTGTAAATATTAACGGACGTAGTCACGCCTATCTCTGCTGTTCTAACTAATGGGCCAAAAATGTGCTCTACTGGAGCTATCCAAAATGGCCGCGAGTGGTCCCGCCCACAAGAAAATTGTGAAAAAACACATCTGTGCATGTGTCAGCTGCACGAGCTCCATTCATTTAAAGAAGCTAAACCCAATTTTTTTTTCTAAGTAGTTCATAAAATGCTTATTACTACAAACAAGTAATTTTCAATTATGTATTATAATCCATAATTGAAAACTTGAGGTTTTCAATTACGTGCTAGTTCAAAAACTCTAGAACTACATGAAAACTGAACAAATAATTCTGATCATCAGTGGTGAGTTACCCATTTATGTTCGTGTTAATGGTAACTTCCGGGTTTTTCGCGATCGCTTTTTGTCACTTTAAAAATAGTATTTTTGTCATGAAAACGTTAACAGCAAATTCTGAAATCGTCCGTGCACGTGTGTTAAGGATGTGTGTACTGTATTGTCCGATTAACGTTTAATTGTGTTGATTGATTGATATGTATTTGTTTATTGAGCGTGGCTAGCTCCGCTAGCTTCTCTACACAAACAAGTGTGTAGTGACAGGTGCTGAAGGCTTGTTGTACTTGCAGAGTAATGTTAGTATTTTACACACCTGAATTACAAACAGAGAGTGCGTTGTCAAAGGGCTGCGGTCATTTCTGGTTTGAGAGTTCTGTTATCAAGAAAAAATGCTTGGAAGAATTACATTCAAGTCACTGGAATGTTCTGCTGCTGCTGTGAGGAGCTGTATAATAAATTATAATTAAATATTAGAATATATTCTAATGTTAAATGAATACATTCAGACGTGAAACTAGCAGTATTCTTTTACCTATATATTGTGTTAGCAGTGCGTTGCTTTAGTACCATTTCATCAGTGATTGTTGTATAGCTTACAAGAAGTTCAGATTCAGATTCAGTTTATTTGCCATTTGCAGTAAAAAAACCACATAAGAATACATTCGCGAAAAGTCTCCAGTGTGCACAGACAAATACAGACATAAAACAACATTAAAAGACAAAAATAAAACAAATAAAACAGTAAACAAATGTCACTGTGAAATGGATCGACTAAAACAGTTCAAAACAAGTGCAAATCATTAAAGTGCTCTGTTCACACTGATAACAGCTTGTGGATAAAAACTGTTAGCGTAACGAGATGTCCTGCATCTCAGAGAGCGATATCTTCTGCCAGAGGGAAGAAGCTGGAACATGGCTTTCCCAGGGTGGCCAGAAGAGTCATTAACAATCCTAAGAGCTTTGTTTAAAAGTCTGGATTTATAAAGAACCTCCAGAACAGGAAGCTCACAGCCCACGGTCCTCTTTGCAGAGCGGAGCACCTTGTTTAAAGCTCTCTTTTCTTTATCTGTGATGTTTCCAAACCACACAGACACAGAACCAACAAGTAAACTCTCAATGGTGCAGCCATAAAAGTTAAGCACAATCTTAGAGTTAGTGGTAAATTCTCTAAGTTTACGCAGGAAGTAGAGACGCTGACGAGCTTTCTTAACGACTCGGTCAGTGTTTTTAACCCATTTCAGGTTAGACAGAGTTAAACCCAGAAACTTGCTCCTCTACGATCTGCACCTGGGAGTTGTCGATTACGACAGGCAAATGAGAACTATTGCGACTGAAGTCGTGACCAGTTCACATGTTTTGGATGCGTTCAACTGGAGGTTGTTAGTTTGACTCCACTGAACCACATTTTGTATCTCTGCTCTATAAGAGGATTCATCAGTGTCACTGTTGAGACCGATGATGGTGGTGTCATCAGCATATTTAATGATCAAGTTTGAGTCAGAGGAGGACACACAATCGTGAGTGTACAAAGTAAAAAGCAAAGGACTCAAAATACATCCCTGAGGAGAACCAGTGCTCACAGAAACAACATCAGAAAAACACTCATTGATTTTCACTCTCTGAGATCTGTCAGTTAAAAAGCTAAAAATCCATTTACACATGGCAACACTTAAACCGAGAGACATGAGCTTTTCAATCAGTTTACCTGGGACAAGGCAGTTAAAAGCAGAGCTATAATGGATGAAAAGCATTCTCGCCACAGATTTACTAGTGTCCAAGTGACTGTAGACAGAGTTCAGAGCAAAGGAGATGGCATCCTCCACACTCCTGTTCTGTCTGTAGCAAACTGGAGCGGGTCAACACTCACAGGGATCTGGCTCTTAATGAAGTCCAGCACAAGCCGCTCAAAAGTTTTCATAAGAACAGACGTGAGGGCCACAGGACGATAGTCATTCAGGCATGTCACAGGAGTTTTCTTAGGAACTGGGATAATGGTCGACTCTTTAAAGCAGTTCGGCACAGTACAGTTCCTTAGCGACAGGTTGAAAATGTCTGTTAGCACAGGGGCAAGTTGCTCAGAGCACAGTTTCAGGACACGAGGAGGGATGCCGTCCGGGCCTGGGGCTTTCCGGACTGTGGTCCTGGACAAGACACGCCTGACTTCCTCCTGAGTCACGGTGAAGGTACCTTGATTGAAACACTCAGGGAATACAGTAGGACAGGCATCAGCGGATTCAAAGCGACAGTAGAACGTGTTCAGATCGTTTGGCAGAGCTTGGCCGACAGATGCGATTTTCCCAGTGCTAGGTTTCCACGATGTGATGGCTTTAATACCGTTCCACATGCGCCGAGGGTCATCTTCCTCAAAATAACTCTTTAACCTGTCCCCGTAACTGCGCTTTGCAGATTTAATAGAACGTTTCAATGAGTAACAGGTAGGGGTGGGCGATATGGCCTAAAATTCATATCGCGGTATGATTTGGGTCACAGACGGTAGACGGTATACATCACGGTATAATTTGGTGTGTGAATTTCAATATAGGTTTAGCAGGTTCTTGCATAAAATAGTCAAGATTGTTACTTATCTATACATTAGAATCTGAGACAAATGGTGAGGTGAGAGACAAATGCTGTAACATACATTATTTATGTATGTTACAGTAAAGACCATTAACTGTGAAAGCAATTTTAAATAATATAAAAATATAAAATATATTATATAATATCTGTAGCAGTTAGACATGGTCATTATTTATAGTGTCAGAGTTTAGTGCGTATGCATGGCTTCAGTAAAAGCTATTGTTCGTTTACAAAGCTAGTCTTGCCATTTGTTGACGCTCCCTAAGCGCTTGCTGTGAACTGGATGATTCAATGGATTTATCTGCATTAAAACAGCGCATTTGATTTGAACAATTGATGTAAATGCTCATTTTGGCACAATTAATTTTGTTTAACAAAGTAGCTTTCGTGATCTATTGACCGCGGGAGTCTGAATCGGACGCTAACTTTACAAAACTTCTGAGATGATGCGGACACGGCACAAGCATGGATCTATTTCGGCTCACGATGGCGCTTCGAGCCTACGCCCCTTTGACACTCATTGGCCGAAAGGTAGACATGTAAACTGTGATTGCTGTGTGTGTATTTACCTCCGCTGGGGCCGCTGTAACCAATACAGAGACAGAAACACGGTGTGAAAGCCGTGCTGTTGTTTCCAGTGGTGTCTGCTAGGCTAATGTGCTAGGCTAATGCTGCTGAATGCCGGTTTGTTTTGGTGCTTTCTGCTGGCGTCAGAGCCTGCGCAATTTAATGACATAATGACCTATCGCAATATGCCGGTATAACAAAAATCTCTACCGTGGGCCAAATTTATACCGCATACCGCTTATACCGTTTATACCGCCCAGCCCTAGTAACAGGATAGCTTATAAGCAACTGTATCATTTGATTGAAACGCCAACGCACGCTCATGAAGTTTCAGTTTCACTTCCGCGTTCATCCAAGGGTTTTGACTAAAATGTTCTTTAATGACCTTCTGTGGGACACAGCAGTCAATACAGAAGCGTATGTATCCAGACACAGCGTCACAGAATTCATTGACGTCCTCTGACTGAAACACAGACCAGTCCGTAGCATCAAAACAACCTTGTAGCTTCATGCTAGCCTCCTCAGACCAACACTGCACAGTGAGAGAGGTTGGTTTATGTTCCCTGCTCCTCTGAGTATACGAAGGAAGAAGGAGAACAGAGGAGTGGTCAGACTTTCCAAAAGGAGGTCTGAGACTGGACCTGTAAGCTCCCTTCACGTTACTGTAGCAGTGATCCAGAACATGTGCTCCTCTTGTAGCTCGAGTCACATGTTGGTAAAAGTTCGGGAGTACAGTCTTTAAATTACATTTAAAGACTGTGTTATGAGAGCATAGGGGAAATGAGAAGCCATTGAGCGAGTGGGGGTGCTAAACATTCAAACCTTGCAAAAACGGGTATTGCTCCTTTAAACGAGAGACTTCTAAAGTCCACAGCGACTAAACTAGACTGGTCCAGAACACTCCCTCAGCATTGACACACATGTGGAACGGAGCTTTGGGCCAAAAGCCAACTTTTGGACCATTCTGTAAAGACGTTTTCCAGAGGTAAGAAGATGCTATATGTTAGCATTGGCTAATTCTTATCCCGGGTCCACCCCCACAGGCCCGGGGTGGTACTGCAGCATGTCAGCGCACGTCATTTTGGCCACTTTTGAGCCGGGACCGGCCCCCACTGGTCAAAACGCGGCCGAGCCCCTCTGTGCACGTGCATGAAAGCCACACACACGTATTTGGTGCAAAGCATCATGGGAGCTCGTCCACTGCACAGAACCGGGAGGACCAGACGATGCCCAAATGTAGCCGAGTTCCTCTGTCAGCGCCGGTGAAGTCCCATGAACTACTGAGCACAAGCCATTCATTTGAACAGGGCGCCATCTTGGATCACCGGGGCTTGGCTTCTACTCCTTCGTCCAAACCAAACCACAGCTCTGGTCTCCCTCTCTGGTCTCCCTCTCTGGTCTCCCTCTCTGGTCTCCCTCTCTGGTCTCCCTCTCTGGTCTCCCTCTCTGGTCTCCCTCTCTGGTCTCCCTCTCTGGTCTCCCTCTCTGGTCTCCCTCTCTGGTCTCCCTCTCTGGTCTCCCTCTCTGGTCTCCCTCTCTGGTCTCCCTCTCTGGTCTCCCTCTCTGGTCTCCCTCTCTGGTCTCCCTCTCTGGTCTCCCTCTCTGGTCTCCCTCTCTGGTCTCCCTCTCTGGTCTCCCTCTCTGGTCTCCCTCTCTGGTCTCCCTCTCTGGTCTCTCTCTCTGGTCTCTCTCTCTGGTCTCTCTCTCTGGTCTCTCTCTCTGATCTCCCTCTCTGGTCTCTCTCTCTGGTCTCTCTCTCTGGTCTCTCTGATCTCTCTCTCTGATCTCTCTCTCTGATCTCTCTCTCTGATCTCTCTCTCTCTCTGATCTCTCTCTCTCTCTGATCTCTCTCTCTCTCTGGTCTCCCTCTCTGGTCTCCCTCTCTGGTCTCCCTCTCTGGTCTCCCTCTCTGGTCTCCCTCTCTGGTCTCCCTCTCTGGTCTCCCTCTCTGGTCTCCCTCTCTGGTCTCCCTCTCTGGTCTCCCTCTCTGATCTCCCTCTCTGATCTCTCTCTCTGATCTCTCTCTCTGATCTCTCTCTCTGATCTCTCTCTCTGATCTCTCTCTCTGGTCTCTCTCTCTCTGGTCTCTCTCTCTGATCTCTCTCTCTGATCTCTCTCTCTGATCTCTCTCTCTCTGATCTCTCTCTCTGATCTCTCTCTCTGATCTCTCTCTCTGGTCTCTCTCTCTCTGGTCTCTCTCTCTGATCTCTCTCTGATCTCTCTCTCTGGTCTCTCTCTCTCTGATCTCTCTCTCTCTGATCTCTCTCTCTGATCTCTCTCTCTGATCTCTCTCTCTCTGATCTCTCTCTCTGGTCTCTCTCTCTGATCTCTCTCTCTGATCTCTCTCTCTGGTCTCTCTCTCTGATCTCTCTCTCTGATCTCTCTCTCTGATCTCTCTCTCTGATCTCTCTCTCTCTGGTCTCTCTCTCTGATCTCTCTCTCTCTGATCTCTCTCTCTGGTCTCTCTCTCTGGTCTCTCTCTCTGATCTCTCTCTCTGATCTCTCTCTCTGATCTCTCTCTCTGATCTCTCTCTCTGATCTCTTCATTAATATATTTTTAAATGTATTTTTTAATTCCTGATTTCCAAATGCAAGTTCTACCTTTAAGTTCTACCAGTTTTTCTGACTGCACTCATTCAAATACATTCAAATGTTAAATTCAAATGTTTGGTAACCAATGTTCAGAGTCAGATATTGTTCCAGTCCTGAGTCCAGAACACACTGGACCATCAGCTCCAACACCATCACTCTCTCATTTTCATTCAGACCTATTGTGCATGTTTTTACGCAGACACATGGAGAACATGCAAACTCCACTCAGAAAGGTCCTGTTCCGACCGGGATTCGAACCCAGGACCTTCTTGCTGAGAGGCGAGAGTGTTAACCGCTGTTAGCATGTGACTGTTTCTGTATTTCAGTTGTAGCACCAGTTTTCACACTAAACATAAACATTTGAACATTACTCATTTATAATAAAAGACACTAAACACTAAAGTGTTTATGGATCTTTTCAGAACTCCATTGGTTTGAACCGAGCCGTGCAAAAGGACTGAATGTTTCAGAACAATCCTGGACCCAAGTCCTGGGTCTGGAGTCGTTAAGTCATGTTACATGTTACATGTTACATAATACACAGAGCAACTATAAGGAGCTCCAACTACTGCTGTCTCTGCGGTGCTTAATGTTTACACTTGTGAATACTGAGAACTTCATATACTTTTTCTAATATTTTAGACAATGTTATACTTCAAATGTTTTATAATGCGTTATCCTATTCTCTGCTTGACTTGTCCCTGGTCCACTAGAGCCAAAGTCCCTGGTCCACTAGAGCCAAAGTCCCTGGTCCACTAGAGCCAAAGTCCCTGGTCCACTAGAGCCAAAGTCCCTGGTCCGCTAGAGCCAAAGTCCTTGGTCCACTAGAGCCAAAGTCCCTGGTCCACTAGAGCCAAAGTCCCTGGTCCACTAGAGCCAAAGTCCCTGGTCCACTAGAGCCAAAGTCCCTGGTCCGCTAGAGCCAAAGTCCCTGGTCCGCTAGAGCCAAAGTCCTTGGTCCACTAGAGCCAAAGTCCCTGGTCCACTAGAGCCAAAGTCCCTGGTCCACTAGAGCCAAAGTCCCTGGTCCACTAGAGCCAAAGTCCCTGGTCCACTAGAGCCAAAGTCCCTGGTCCACTAGAGCCAAAGTCCCTGGTCCACTAGAGCCAAAGTCCCTGGTCCACTAGAGCCAAAGTCCCTGGTCCACTAGAGCCAAAGTCCCTGGTCCACTAGAGCCAAAGTCCCTGGTCCACTAGAGCCAAAGTCCCTGGTCCACTAGAGCCAAAGTCCCTGGTCTGTGACTTCCTGTTCCTTCCATGGCAGTAAACATGATTTAGAGAAAACGTTATAACGTTGTTGTTCATGCTCCTAGACCCAGACCCCAGTTTGAGAACCACCCCTGCACATTAAACAGCAGTGTAGTTTAGTGTCATTAGTGTTTTAAACCAGGGATAAAAGCAGAAATAAAAGAGTGACATGAATAAGCCCAGACCTGTCGAACAGCTCCGAGTCCACGGCAGCCCGCAGGACCCAGCCGATCAGGGGGATCCCAGCCAGGGTCTTTATGTTCTTTAGCGGGATGCCTTTGCTCCCGCCCCGGGCCAGGATCAGCGCCGCTATGTGCCTCTGGTCCCCGGCTCTGGACCTCTTCCCCACGGCCACAGCGGAGCCCTCTGGCCCCTTGTTGTGGCTCTCTGTCGGGACGCGCTTACGAGACGCCATGGCTGATGTCAGGGAGGACCTTACAGAGGCCGGAGCACAGAGACGGTTAGGCCGGAGCACAGAGACGGTTAGGCCGGAGCACAGAGACGGTTAGGCCGGAGCACAGAGACGGTTAGGCCGGAGCACAGAGACGGTTAGGCCGGAGCACAGAGACGGTTAGGCCGGAGCACAGAGACGGTTAGGCCGGAGCACAGAGACGGTTAGGCCGGAGCACAGAGACGGTTAGGCCGGAGCACAGAGACGGTTAGGCCGGAGCACAGAGACGGTTAGGCCGGAGCACAGAGACGGTTAGGCCGGAGCACAGAGACGGTTAGGCCGGAGCACAGAGACGGTTAGGCCGAGGGTGTGATTCCCGGAGGAGTTAGATCCAAGAAGGAAGCAGATCCATGCCTCTGCGGCTTTATGCTCTCTGCTCTTCCGCGTATGAGGTTCCCTGACCCGCGGAGGTTTCACAGGAGGCTCGGTGCCGCCATCTTGTGTCGGTCTGGAGGAGGCAGCACTTAGCACCGTTAGCTTAGCACCGTTAGCTTAGCACCGTTAGCTTAGCACCGTTAGCTTAGCACCGTTAGCTTAGCACCGTTAGCTTAGCACCGTTAGCTTAGCACCGTTAGCTTAGCACCGTTAGCTGCATCCGAATCCATAAGCACCCCTTCCTTATCCATTCTTGTTCTTCTTACTTCGTGATCTAGGTGACATCCATTTTCACTCCAGTGTTCATAATAATAATAACTACTTTAAATTAACTTTTACAAATCTTGAGGCAATTTGTTGTAAAATTATAGCAATGTTGCACAAAGTAAAATACTCTGTAAACCAAAATGCACTTAAAATGTTGTACAACTCTTTCATACTTCCGTATCTCAATTATTGTGTCAAAATATGGGGAAACAATTTCAAATCCAACGTCCAATCAGTTGTTTTGCTCCAAAAGAAGGCTGTCAGAATAGTTAATTATGCAGATTTTTATGCTCCTACAAACGCCATCTTCATCAAATTAAAAACATTAAAATTTCATGACCTTGTTGACCTAAACACTGCGATTTTCATGTACAAAGCCCATAACCACCTGCTCCCTCAGCGCATACAGGAGAGGTTCAAACCTAGAGAGAGTCCTTATGAATTAAGAGGTGTGTATGTCTTTAAGAAACCAAATGTGAGAACCAGTTTAAAAAGTAGATGCATCTCTGTCAGGGGGGTTCATCTTTGGAATGGCCTGGATGAGCCACTCAAATGTTCCACCTCAATTCACACATTTAAAAAGCGCTTTAAGGCTATTGTTGAAGAAAAGTATAAATCACTAGAATAATAATAATAATGGTGATGGTGGGAGTAATGGTGGTGATTATGATAATAATAATGGTAATGATGATAAATATAATAACACATATATTGTACATGTAAAATATCAATATTAAAAATATATATATATATATATATCTATATATATAAATAAATTAATTAATAATAGTAATAATAAACATATCTGTGTATATGTATAGATATGTTATGTGTGCACTGCATATGTGAATGTGTGTATGCAGGTACAGGTATAGGTGTATGTTTGTATGTGTGTGTATGTATGTATATATGTATATGTATGAATGTGTGTATGTGTATGTAAATGCATGTTTAGATATATATATTATATACATAAAAGGAAGAAAATTAAAATAAATAATAATAATAAAAAATAAATAAACATATATATATGTATATAGTCATATTCTGTGTTTATGTATATGATGTGATTACAAGGAATATTTCTTTGAATTAGTACGAACTATTTATTTTCTTACAATGAAAGTTGTATTTGGAAATACTGTAAGCTCTGTGGATCCGCTACATTGTATATAATTTTGTTACATTTGTATAAGTAAGAAATGTAATTTTGTTATTTGTTAATAGGGTTAGGCGAAATAAGTGTTAAACTTCAGCCTAACCCTTTCGGTCAGTATATAATTTATAATTTGTGTATGTCAAATGTTTTCTTATTTTCTGCTGATGGCCGAAGAATAAACGAATATATAAAGAGAAAGGAAGGACAAGGAAGAGTTGACTTTGATTGAACCAACAGTTAAGCGACGTTGGGCTGCATCCGATTTCATAATTAATGATTTCTCTAACCCTCTTATCATTTCAAAAGTTACTAGTTACTAGTTATAGTATAATTCTATTTGAAGTCACTTTGACAAAGAGTTATAATGCATTACTCGTTTCAAAGTCTCTCAAGCTACGTGCAATATTTAATATATATTATCCATTTAAGCAATTTCAAACCTGGCAGTTTTACTTTTAAACAACTATAGGAGCAAAAACTCAACTGTTTTGATATGTTTTTCCCCCCATTTTATTTAATTTTTATATGAATGAATTATCTCATGTCTTAGCTCATGTAAAACTGGCTGCATGGTCGGCAGCACAGTGCTGAACCATCTGATGTAATTCTTAGTCCGAGCTCAGCTGGTCTGCAGAAACTTCATAATATATGTTCAGTGTTTGGGGAAAATCATGATGTAAAGTACAATGATTCCAAAAGTGACATTATGATCTGCAGAACCACAGAGGACAGACATGTAACCTTTCAGGCGTTTCGACTCGTTGGTAAGGTTCTTAATATCTGTAGTGAAATGAAATATCTGGTCCGTCTGACCACAGATCTGACAGATGATGAGGACATTATTCGGCAGTATCGTTTGTTGTATGTGAGAATTCTTTGGTGCGTACATTTGGTTGCTGCTCTGTTGAAGTGAACTTGACCTTATTCAAAGCTTACTGCTCTCCTTTATACTCTGCACATCTGTGGCTGAACGAAGCTACTCTTCAGAAACTGCAGGATGACGCTCTGAGGATGATTTAAAGAAGCCCAGATCGACTCCAGTGAGTTGTTTGTGAGCAACAGAGTGAACTGAAGTCTGTCTGAGAAATGCAATGTTTAGTTTTATTCTCCGATTGAACGAGTGTGAGAACCGTGTTGTTGTTGTTTTGGTGAAGGCTACGTTCAGTACAACACGGTATAAATTAAACTTTGTTATTTTATTTTTTATGTTTTTCTGTGTCTTGTGATCTCCTTGTCTTCTGTGTGGACCTTGAGTCCGGAATAAAGATTATTATTATTATTATTCATAAAATGAAAAAAAGATTGTCGTAATTAAATATAGCAGAAGCAGCGGACATTTACTTAGACAATACTTTAAAGTCAATCAAGTAAAGTATCTAAAAGTATCTATCTCCAGGACTGAGGCTGTAGATCCAGGACTGAGACTGTAGACCAGGACTGAGGCTGTGTAGACCCAGGACTGAGGCTGTAGATCCAGGACTGAGGCTGTGTAGACCCAGGACTGAGGCTATAGACCAGGACTGAGGCTGTAGATCCAGGACCGAGGCTGTAGACCCAGGACTGAGGCTGTAGACCAGGACTGAGGCTGTAGACCATAGACCCAGGACTATACAGTATGGACAAGTATATAATGATGCCACAGAGCATTAAAGTCCTTTGGTCAAAAGGAGACTTGTTTGCGAACCAGAATAAAGTAGACTTGTTTCTCTCTGTAAATGTCTCCAATAACTCTCATTTAATTCATTTAATATTTTGCCTCAATAATGCCGCCACCTAGAGGCGAAACGTGATACGGAACTAACAAGTTTTGACCCGACCCCAGTTCAGTCTCAGCATCAGAGACTGCCGCATTTTTCATGATCACAGGTACAATTCATAAAGTGTTAATACACGTCAATGTGTACAGAGTAATACTGAGTAATAATACACAGAGTAATAATACACAGAGTAATACTGAGTAATAATACACAGAGTAATACAGAGTAATAATACACAGAGTAATATAGAGTAATAATATACTGAGTAATAATATACAGAGTTATAATATACAGAGTAATAATACACAGAGTAATACAGAGTAATAATACACAGAGTAATAATACACAGAGTAATACAGAGTAATAATACACAGAGTAATAATATACTGAGTAATAATATACTGAGTAATAATATACAGAGTAATAATACACAGAGTAATAATATAAAAAGTAATAATATACAGAGTAATAATACACAGAGTAATAATATACAGAGTAATAATACACAGAGTAATAATACACAGAGTAATAATACACAGAGTAATGATACACATAGTAATAATATACAGAGTAATAATATACAGAGTAATCATATACAAAGTAATAATATACTGAGTAATAATACACAGAGTAATAATATACAGAGTAATAATATACAGAGTAATAATATACAGAGTAATAATACACAGAGTAATAATACACAGAGTAATAATACACAGAGTAATGATACACATAGTAATAATATACAGAGTAATAATATACAGAGTAATAATACACAGAGGGATAATATACAGAGTGATAATATACAGAGTAATAATATACTGAGTAATAATATACAGAGTAATAAAATACTGAGTAATAATACACAGAGTAATAATACACAGAGTAATAATATACAGAGTAAAAATATACAGAGTAATAATACACAGAGTAATAATACACAGAGTAATAATACACAGAGTAATAATATACAGAGTAAAAATATACAGAGTAATAATACACAGAGTAATAATACACAGAGTAATAATATACAGAGTAATAATATACTGAGTAATAAAATACTGAGTAATAATACACAGAGTAATAATACACAGAGTAATAATATACAGAGTAATAATACACTGAGTAATAAAATACTGAGTAATAATACACAGAGTAATAAAATACTGAGTAATAATACACAGAGTAATAATATACAGAGTAATAATACACAGAGTAATAAAATACTGAGTAATAATACACAGAGTAATAATACACAGAGTAATAATATACAGAGTAATAATACACAGAGTAATAATACACAGAGTAATAATACACAGAGTAATAATATACAGAGTAATAATACACAGAGTAATAAGTAAGTAAGTAAGTAAGCTTTATTTATATACCGCCTTTCACAGACCAGA